TCGCGTGCTCAGGCACTGACTAACTACCCTGGCACTTCTACAAACCTGCACGCGACCTGGGGCGAGCGCCGGGAGTGCTTGTAGATATCGTGCCCACCTACACTGATGGTGGTGCCTTTTTCCCATCTCCGTCATGGACACCAGCATGATCACAAATCAACGCGCTCTACGGCAGTCCGCAAACCTATGCCTTGGAATTTATCCATCGGATCTTTGTAACACTCAATTGTGCCTCTCCTTTCTTCTGACAAGTCCAGAGGATCGCCAGTGGAAGGGCACAATAGGCCGGAAAATTCGCGTCTCTTGGGGCGGGATGGGTCAACAGTATCTCCAAGACTGCATTATCCGCGACTGATGTCCCGTTGACATGGACGAAAGAAGCCAACGCCTATGTTTGCGTGAGTGACTAGTCGATGTTGTGTTGACATTTGAGCAACGACATCGAGCCGTGTATCGCTGTAGACTGTCGTGTTGAACTGCTCGTCGGTCCAGGACTTGTGCATTTCGTCTTCGCCGTACTTCGATAATGCCATCTCAACTGTACGTCATCCTCTGGCTTCATTATTCATCGGTGGAACAGATTGACGTGCAGCTCGCAAAGTTAAAGTACAACGCTATCTTTGGATGAGGGATGAGGTCATGTTATCTACTGTTAGCAGATGTCAATATATTTGTAAGCTGTTTATCTATAACGCCAATTTTTGGTGGATGAGCTGTGAGAAGATGAAACCTACAGATGGCAACACAGGAAGGGTTGCAATCTTTTTACGAGTTGGTAAAGTTTGGCTTTCTCTTTTCCACAAAGGCCGCCATGCCTACTCATATGAACGTTGAGGAGGCTTCAGGCTCATGCCAAGGCATTCTACGCACCCTCCTTTTGATCCGCCGTCGCAAACGTCATATGGAACAGCCGACGCTCGGTCCTTAGACCCTCCGACAAGCCCTGCTCAAACGCTACGGCGAGAGAACGCACGGAGATCACCACGCAACCGCGGAAAGGAAGAGAGACGGTTCAACGGATCAGATGAGAACGTACCGGCATTGACGGCCTCCTTCTGCGCCTGCACCGCGATCTGGCTCTTCGCCGCGATCTCCGCGGCGAGCGCGACGGCCTCGCGAACGACCTCGCCATCGCCCTCGCCGACGACGCGGCTCGCCATGCCCCACGCGACGGCCTCCTGCGCGCTCCACGTGCGCCCCGTGAGCGTGAGCTCCATCGCGCGCGACTTACCCACGGCCCGCGTGAGCCGCTGCGATCCACCGCCGCCCGTGACGGTGCCGATCTTCACCTCCGGCTGACCGAATTGCGCGTTCGGCGCCGCGAGGAGTATGTCGGCCATCAGCGCGAGTTCGCACCCGCCTCCGAGCTGGCGAAAGGAAGAACGGTCAAGGCGCCGACGCGCACGACGCGTCAGCGTTTCGGGAAAAGAGCATGCATCATGTGTGAGGAGACTGCGGGGCGGGGAGAGGGGAGACCGTTGTTGGTCACACGTACCGCGTAGCCGCTGACGGCGGCAATGATCGGCTTGCGGATGCTGGCGATTTGCTGCCAGCTCTCTAAGAACTTGTTCTGGTACGCGTCCGCGACTTGTTAGACCGTATGCAATCCGCGGCGCAGCGGTCGTCAACATGCGCCGGATCAGATTACGGGGTCCACTGTTCACCGTTTACGTTTACTCACAGGACTTGTCCTTCATCTGCTTGATGTCGGCGCCGGCTGCCTCCCCCCCAAAGTAAGTAAGTCAGGGTCGATAGAATGAGGGCATGAGCGAGGGTGGCGCTGCGCACCAGCAAAGGCCTTCTCAGAGCCTGTGATGACGATGGCGCCGATTTCCTTGTCCGCGTCGATGAGGTGCAAGGCCTCATTCAGTTCCCTGAACAGCGCGACGTTGAGCGCGTTGAGCGCTTTAGGGCGGTTGAGCGTCACGAGTGCCACACCAGGCTCCGGGCGCGATGTGAGTATGCTCTCATATTTCGCGGTGAAGGCGGACATGAATCGGACTGGTGTAAGGGAAAACTTGTATGGTGAGGACAAGACAGCACCGGCAGCGAGTTGACGAGATATAAAGGACATGGTATGATACGGTGACAAACAGTATTTGGAGTTCCGGGATCGGGCTTTGTGATGTTACCAGGACAAACAGCGAAGGTATCCTAGGTACACATTCACCCGGGCCTGTAATGGTGCAGATGCCATGCCATATCATGTTGGGCTTCCAAGAAAAACTTGTGCAAGAGGTTTGTTACATTCTTGCACCGCACCGCATCGCTACTGTAATACAAAGCACGTATCTAACAATCACCTCAGTGTGCAATGTCTGATGGATAGAGTTCTGTATGTCCTCAATAATGGCCAGCTGACTTTTATTAGTAACTGTCCACCCCGTGCGGAGCACGGATCACTACTAGCATTAAACTAGGACGAAGAAGGTGACTACTAACGTATTTCTGTTCAGTTCTGAAAACCCAAAGGTCCGTGGGGAGAGGACGAAGGTAAACGAACAAATACTGCGAGATAGATCTGTGTGAGTGAGGGTCAATGGAACAAAATGTATGAGTGGCTCATAGAAGCCGACGCCAACCGGCATCCTTGGCTTTCTTGACAAGCCTTTTCACCTCTTGCGAACGGGCACGCGTTGTCACTAGTAGGGTGTCGGGCATATCGACTATGACGAGGTCATCGACACCCAGGCACGCTACTAGCCGGCCGGAACCAGGGACGACGATGCCACCGGCGACCTGCTCAGTAAGAACTGTTGGGGTAGGTGAGCTCCAGCACCATGACTAGAACAAAATAGGACATACCCAGTCCACCGTCGCCAAGAATACGGGGTTGGTTTGCTTCGGCGGGCAACAGTTCGGCAATTGACGAGAAGTCTCCAACATCATCCCAACCTGTGGCGCCGCCACCGGATTAATTTGCGCAAAAACGGTTGGTGGTACACACATACCAAACGTTGCTGGCACGACAGCAACACGACCCTCTAAGGCTGCAGGTTCCGCCACGGCGTGATCAATGGCGATCTTTTCGAGATTAGGCCACACCTCCTCTAACACCTTGCTGCGTCGAGCCTCGTCATCCCAAACGGCTGCAACTTTTGTTAAACCTTCCTCGAGTTCGGGTTGATACTCCTTGAGTAATTCGAGCAAGAACGTGGCCTTCGTGACAAACATACCCGCGTTCCAGCGGTAAGAACCAGTGGCGATGTACGCGGCGGCTGTGCGAGCGTCGGGCTTCTCTTTGAAGCTTGACACGAGACGTGCGTTCGGGGCCTCGGGAATGCCAAGTTTCTCGCCTAGCCGCACATAACCGAACCCTGTGGACGGATGAGAGGGAGCGATGCCGATGGTAACGAGGTAACCCTTGTGCGCAACCTGAACAGCTTCCGTGACGGCGCTAAGGAAAGCCTCATGACCGGAGATCATATGGTCGGCTGCGAATGAGCCAATGACGGCATCGGGGTCACGCTGCGCGAGGATCGCTGCAGCGAGTCCGATGGCGGCCATCGAATCTTTCGGGCCGGGTTCACAAAAGAGGTTGCGTGGCAATAGATCAGGGAGCTGTTCGTAAATGCTCCTGACGTGGCTAGGGCCAGCGACAACCGTGAGACGATCAGCACCACTCAGTGGAAGCAGACGGTCCCAGGTTGCTTGAATCAAACTGCGGCCTTGGAGGGTCACATCGAGGAGGAACTTGGGGTGGTCCTCACGCGAAAGAGGCCATAGACGGGTACCGGCACCTCCAGCCGGAATGACAACATAAAAACCAGGAATTTCTCGAGCATATCCAAAAGGATAAGAAATCATGCCGTTGCCCAGTGGTGATGCTATGTATGTAGATGGTGGGGCCGCAAGAGAGGGGATTGAGTGCGAGCTGAGGAAAGGAGACTTTGCACGGAGCTGGGGAGAGCTAGGAGCAGGAGTAGTGAAACCAGGAGTCCCTACATGGGGGCTACGGATTTGCTGCCTGTCAGTTAGCTTTTGTCTTGGTCGCGTAGAGATACTAAGGACACATACCGCGGCGACGATACCCTCCCTAACGTGACGTTCGAGAGTGAAATTAGCTTGCCGCAGCTCAGTGCATTCCCGACGGAGCTCAGCAATCTCCGCGCGCTGTTAAAACTTGGTGTCAAGAGGGCCGTGGAGATGTTTGATGACGGGTAGCACTGACGGATTTGAGCACCACTTCCATGATTTGGCTGAACATAGTCTCGACATTGGCCCCCGACGGGGTCTGGTGGGTCAAGGGATGCTCTACGGGGCGAGAGAGAGACATGGCTGAGAAAAAGGAGGGACGAGAAGAAGGGGGGGGAGGGAAATGGGGGAAAATGAAACTTATAGCAATGAATGTCAATGCCAACAGGGTGTGCACATGGTCGGCTGTGCCACCATTCTGAGAGTGTTTCGGTGACCGGGATGGCTACGAACAAGATTAATACATTTCCATCCATCAGATTCTAACCAACAATGTCCTGCCCATCCATCAAACGCCGGTCACTGGCAGTCGCACGTGTTCCGTTTATTGTTTTTTTTTTTTTTGGTTTTTCACACTTGTCCAATATTGGTCAGCTCTCGGCTGGGTCATGCTGAGCGAGCAGTGGTGCCATAATTACTGCACCTATCTGTCATTGGAACGAGCCTAGCGTAGAGCTACCTGCCCATCAGGGCATAGTGCGACCTGTGGTTGACAGATTCATTAAGAGGCCCTCATTGCACGGTTTGGTCCTACATCGCGTTTTGGCCCGCTGGTTAAGATGAAATAAAAATTTCAATGGGCCTAGATTACCTACTGTGTTTTATGGATGACATCACAAATCAACGAACAGTCAGAGCAGCAACGATCGAGACTCACCCCCAAACTTTAGGTCTGTAAATATAAATAGTCCTGCAACGTCTATGATGATCTCAGGTCCGGTGGTAACTAACAGTGCGGGGTATGCCTGTCACTGCTTAATCGCCATATCAATTCCCTTGGATATGGTTACACACCACGCCAAAAAAGGCGCTACCAGGGTTCGAACCTGGGTTAACGGAAAAATTGCCGGCAACTGGAGAGTCAGAATCCGTTGTGATAGCCACTACACTATAGCGCCAGGCTTAATGATACGAGGAATGCAGTCATAAGGTAAGTTGTGCGAAATACAAGTCACCCGAAGTTGGGCCGAGATGCCCGATAGCCCTTCAGTTGATTGAGTCGGGTCGTCAAGCCGTCAAGCACAGCCGTCTACGCATGTGGCCTCTGACGGGGGTCTGCTAGCAAGAATCATTGGTACCAACTACAATGACAACCAACCCGTCGCATATCCTCATTGCGCGCAACTCCCGTGGCCCGTCGAACGCCTCTGCCTCACTGAGTTCGCCTACAGAGACGCACGCCGCAGCCGCGGGGATCTTCCGCTCCTCGGCAGGATCGCCTCCATGGTTTTTCGAAGGGATAGATTCCGAGGATGCAGTGTCCGAGGTCAGCATCTCTGACTCGCAGGAGCCGATTGAGGTCCATGAGGCGTTCACCAAAGGATCCAAGTTCCCCGGGACTGTCAAAATCGTCGTTGAGAGCACGACGTTCTGGTGCGTGCGGTGATCGTTCGTCATCTCGCTCGTCACCCCAACAGATCCCTGAATGGTTGGGATCTTCTTAGGGCGCACAAAGAGGTCCTTTGGTTCGCCTCCCCGTTCTTCCAGGCTGCCCTCAGCGGGAATTGGGCTGAGACCGGACGCCCACTCTCCATGTCATCTGTCATCACTATCTCGCAACCTCCCACCGTTCCCGGGGACAAAATACATACCGATGTGCCTACCGCCATGACGTTCGCGTCCATGGATCCAGATCTTGATTCCAACGAACTAGACATTGACGTTTCAGGGCCGAGCGAACCCGAGGGTATCGAGTCGCTTACTTCGACCGTTATTGTGTCTGGGGACGACCACAAGCAGGCCTGTGGTCCCGCGGGAAACGATTCAGGGACATGTTCTGATGCCGAGTCTCAGAGGAGATCCCACGAGGCTGCACGAATCGAAAGCTTGGAAAAGCTTCAGGGGGCAGCCGTTCGGAATCCTAGCGCGGGCTCCGCAGATGTGCCCCGGGATCCAGGCAAGGGGATAAGTAAAGGCGTCGTCAAACTTTCTTGGAAACGGAGAAACACACAGTCATCCACTAAGTATCACCAAACAACGAGCAATCCAGATGCCGTCATCATCCTCAGAGAAGAAAAGGTCTCGTTCGTCGCTCTGCGTTCGAAAACTCCATCTCACCTGCACCCTAGGCAAGCACCTTTCATGATTTCCTACGGTTTGTCTACCCTGGGTGCGCCTTCCTCGCAATTAGCGGAACAGACGCCACGATATTGACCTGTATAGTGCAGCATGGAGTGCACAATCACATGGAACAACGTAGAGGGCCTGATGAACATCGGAAACAAGCTCTGCGTGCCCTCTCTGCAACGAGTATGCCTCAACTTTCTCCTTACGCACGCAGCAGGTCGTCCGATCAAGGCGATGCGCATTGCTGAGCTTTTCGAGGAGGAAGAACTTTACCGTGAGGCCTCACGCTTCGTGCTCGACAATCCGGGTGGGTGGCCGGAGCAAGAGCTCAACACGCTTAGTAGCGAGACATTACTCAGGCTCGAAAAGCGGTAAGCATTTCTCTCCTCTCCCTTTCCTTCTATGCCTCCAATGGAGAGGCGTCACCTGCGTACATGACCGCTCACTGCCGACAATTGCATCCGCACAGGCGCACTTGGTTTCTCGAACGAGTACTCAAGCTGGGCCTCATCCAGATCGCCAAAGAATATGAATGCGTACGTCGCCTTCGTTCAGTCCCCGGAAGTCGAAGATGTGACTCGCTTACGAGGGGACGTCGCGTGTATGTCATCCAGTGCCCCTCTTGCCCAGATCCTCCCACCTGCGCGCGACTGCTCGACGAAAAGTGGCGCCAAGCTTACCAGGCAGTTTTCCGCTTCGGTCCTTGCCAACCATCGATGGTCTTCCGGTATCTCCGCACGCTCGAAGGGGTCAGCCCGCCCCTCGCGCTATCGCATCTCACGTGCCAAACGACGGCCAAGGCCTTTATAGCCACACGTACGCCGACCTCCTCCATCGGCACATGTAGAGCTCGAACCTGACTGGTGTGCTTACCTCGGTCGAAATTGATCCTCGCAGTGTTCGATCGCATGTTCTCACTCGGCGTTCGCGGAAGCGGCACGGACACGGCACCCCTCGGGGCCCGCGTCGCTGCCGTGGCGGGCGTGGCGAGCGCAACGCTCCCGCGGCGTCACTTCCTTTATTGCTCGCTCAGGCCCGAGAACCCCGTTCCGCCGCGTGGCCACCGACATCACCGTCGCGAGACCGCGTCGTGAGGCCGTCTTGTTTCTTCTGGGCCGTTTTGGGGAGCGGTCGCTTCCCTCTCTGTGTCCGTTTTCATCCGTTCGTCATTTCTCGAATTTTTCATATCTACTCTTTTTTATATGTTTTCGTTTTTTGTTTTTGGGGAGGGAATTTCGCCGACAGAGGCGGGAGAGGGCCGTTAGGCGGGGTCCACGTAGAACAGAGTCCCACTGTGTAGTCACAAGTAGTTTTCCGATTTTGTTGGAGGCAAAATTTAAATTTCTGGTCTCCGCTTCTCCCGGGCCTTTGCTGTATATTGACAGCGATGTGAGGGCACATGCATATGTCATGACTGACTGCGCATTGCAGTGCAAAATAACTTCTTCTTCTTTGCGTCTCGGACCTCATGATCTGATTGCGTCAAGTTTTTCTTTCGTCCCTGGGAAGAGTACGAACAATGATGCTGATCCGGTATGACTACCAGTGGGAATCTGAGCTGTGCATATTTGTCTCCGTTGATGACCACTATAAGAGCGTTGGCATACCACCGCAAATTAAAACATCCATTCCATTCCATGCGTATTCGGTTCATGATATGAAGGTGTGACCTTTCATACACGCTCGTTTAGAAACGAGGGCGGCCTCATGCTCAGCGAGCGGTCTTAGCCCAGCCAGCGTGGACCAAAATAATTTGCGCAGAGCAGCCTCTCTGATGGTCATGCTCAAACCACACACGGTCGAGATCTGGATCATCAACATCAAAAATCACGTCAAACTGCCGCAGGTGAGATGACGGCTGAGAATTGTTGCGGAGATCCGGAAGCGATAACGGAATTTCGACGGGAGGCGGAGGGCGAAATCGTCGCCATCTGTCCCCACCTTTGTGTTATGTTATCCTTATCCATGAGTGGCATCATCAGAACAAAGATCGAAGATCCGGGGGGGGGGTTGACGCGTTGACGCCTGACGGCAACACTTTGGAGTTTCCTTCCACCCTTGTGACGCATCTCAAAAAGGCACGTATGCGGTCCTCCAAGCGATGTTCGAATAACTCACGTTTTAAGCGATCATCTTTTACATCAAAACATTTCCTAATTACAAAAGGAATTAAACAAAATTGTTAGACTATTTGATAAACAGCACACACATACAGAATTTGTTGCAGGGATGGGAACAACAATGGAGAGAAAATGCTTGGGGGATGAACCAGCTACCAGCACCTTCCCTCTACCAAAGATGGCATTGCCATGCTTGCTTTTGCATCTCTATCACACCCACACCCAACACAACAATTGGGCTGAGCACCCTACCTGCATCCACTGCAAGCTGTGCCAGGAAAGTGTCCTGAGAGCATGGAGACTCCTGCCACCTCAAGGAAGATGGGAGGTTTTAATTACAATTATGAGAAAAGCAACTATCTACTGAAATGGAGTAATTTTGCCAAATTTGATACTTGGTGCCAGAAAGAGGAAGACAAGCACATAATCAAATTCATCATTGCCAGAATTAAACATGGTGGGTGGCTATAGTCCCAATGGCATGTTTATGGTGGGATTTTTGATACAAGGGCAATGGCATGCATGCATTGAGAAGGTGGGCTGGTAGACCACTGGCATTGATGTGTTGTGTAAACAGAGTATGAACACAAAGTTGAGTGAAAAGAGAGAAGGGGAACTTTGGTGTGCATGTGAGTGTTTTTGAGAACAGGGAACACAACTCTAATACATTTAGAGATAATAGTAGGCTTTTTTATATGTTTACAAGTATGGCTATTTTATGACTATTTAAGAGAGAAATAGGAGTAGACAATTTTAGGAGTTTTTGTGTCAGATGGAAGTGAAATGTAGATGGGATTGTATAGTAAGAGAACATCAGACTTGGGGATGGGAGAGTTACATGAAAATGGGAGTTCTTGGTTTTCACACTTTTTTTATTTCAATCTGAATGAGACAAAGTTAAAAGGAGTAAAAACAATTTATTTTCCCCTGAGGGGAGTGCCAAAAATTCAGGGATCAAAATGATCCCAGGAATGCATGTGTTGTACTCATGCTCCTCCATACATGCCCCTGGTGGCCTGAAACTGCCAGTTTATGTGTGTCTATGCTAGATGTCTGAGGGCATAAATGATTACCAAAGGCAACACCCTGACCACATGCACTGCTATGAGTCCAAGAAGATGGGTTGCAGTTTCCAGATCATAACCAAATTGTACCCTCATACCTCAATAATATTTGGTCACTATGATGCAAAGCATGATCACAAAATCAGATTGGCCAATGTGATATATGCTTGGCTATCACACAGAGCCCAGGAGAAAATGAAAATGAAAGTGTCTCCTTTAAATTCTTAAAGCATATTGCTTGGCTAAGTATAGCCTTACTGTGGCACTCACATCTACTCAGGGGTCATGACCCTTACCTAAAAAGGTTCCCATTGTACCCAATCAGAAGAAATGGCCACTTGTGTGGGCATCAAGAGGTCCCCAAAATGGCAGTGCCTCCCTGAGGAGCACACATTATTGGAGCAGAGCATCAGTTCCACTAAGGGTATGTGTTGCTATGTACACAATGATCCCTATACTGGGGGGGGAATGATTAGGCAAGAATTGCCAGTGCATGCAAACAGCACCAACTTATAATATGCCTCCATTACCACTGCCCACCTTCTCCCCTTGCAACCATTTTAAGATACTAATTACTTTGAAAGTTCTTTTCTTTTCTTTGTTGTATGTACAACCAAATAACAACTTATCTCAGTGGCAGAAGGCAGA